CCAAATGGCTGCAACAGCCAGAGCTGGGCTGATCTGAAGGTAGGAGCCAGGAGCTTCTTCTGGGTTTCCCAAATGGGTTTAGGGGACCTCCCCCACTGATTTCACAGACCACAAGCAGGGAGCTGGGTGGAAAATGGAGCAGCCAGGACATAAAACAGTACCGAAAACCAGCTGAACCATTGCACCAGCCCTGTCAGCATCTTTTTAGAAATTCACAGTTTCAGGCTCCATTTTAACTGGCTCAATCTGAATAGTTTAACAAGATTACTAGTGATTTGGTACACATTAACGTTTAACAAGCACACCTGTAGCAATACATTGTTACCGTTTATGTGTATGTATATAAGACAACCAAAGAGTTCTTGTTTATGCCCATTCTGTTACTTTATTACAAACAAGTGACATTTTGATATAAAGCAATGCTAGGAATATCCTTTAGAAGATAGTTTCTGTTTTTAAAGCTATAAGAAAAAATTATGAAACAGAGTAAATACTCTGTTGAAGGATGTAAGCAAAAGACCATTAGGAGTGAGTTTAAAGGAGGTAGTGCATGATGTAATAGGTTAAGTGTCCACCTGTGGCACTGGCATCCCACATGGGCACCGCTTCAAAGCTCAGATGGTCTACTTCCAATTCTGCTCCCTGCTGGTATTCCTGGGAAAATAGTGAAAACTAGTCCAAGCCCTTGGGCCTCTGCACCCACGTGGGAGACTGAAAGTAGCTCTTGGCTTCTGCCCTTAAGATGGCCCGGTTCCAACTGTTGTAGGGATTTGTGGAGTGAACCAGTGGATGGAGGATCTCTCTCATTTTCTCTTTGTGACTCTGCCTTTCAAATGAAAATAAGTAAACCTTTTTAAAAATGGGGTTTAGGTGATTTTCCTGTCTCCTAGAAACTTCATAAAAGAGTATTCTAAAGTCTTATCTAGGGGAACTTTATAAAAAATATTCTGTTCGTTTTCAGTAAGGTGAAGTGAAGCCATATCTGAAGTTTATGGAAAATGATGCTGCTGCTCATTCAGATTTATCTTTGCGAAGGAAATGTAATATAAAGTGGCGTTCTTAAATCATTACTCTCTTAGAATAACTAATATTTGGTTTCCAGATTTCCTTTCTATGTCATTTTGATTACTTTAGAGGTTAAGGGGTAAGGTAGTTGGAAAAAAAGGCATTGAAAATAATTTTATTTCTTTTTTAAAAAATTTTTTTCTTGTTTTTAAAAATATATTTTATTTTGTATTTTGAATTATGTGGTACAATTTTGTATAGGCTGGGATTCCCCCCAAACTCCCACCCTCATCAGATTTTTCCCATTTTGTTACAATAGTGTAGTCCTTCATAAGGAATCATAATTCTATCAGTCTCTTATTTAACTGTACCCCCCGACATTGTTGGTACAGACAATGTCAGACAGTCCAGCACCCCCTTGTCTACACAGTTTCATTGGGAATCCATCTTTCGTCTGGATGCGGGGATGCATGTTCCATTGTACCACCACGTCTGTATATGATAGGCCCCAGTACTCCATCACTTTACATTTCCATAAGTGGGAAACCATGAAACAAGGTCAACAACTGGTATGACTTAGAACAGCCACAACAACAACATCAACAACAAATTACAGCACCATGAAAAAAATGTGCCACTGAGTAACCCACACATGGGTGACAAAAAGGAAACACAAAAGTCTCTTGGGAAAAATGATGCCATCGTATAATCTATGAGCCCATGATGAATTTGACAAGAGAAAAGAAGTTATTTGGAATAAACCAAAGTGAAATAAAAACACCAAAACACATGGGATTCAACCAAAAAAACAAGCAAACAAGCAAAAACTAGTATGGATTAGATTATTAAAGTTACACTTTGCATGTTGGTTTCCTTATATAAGAGAGAACATACAGTATTTGTTCTTTTGTGATTGACTCATTTCATTGGGCATAATGGTCTCTAGTTGGGACCACCTGGTTGTAAACAGAGTAATTTCATTCTTAATAGCTGAATAATATTCCATGGAGTAGATATACCACAGTTTCTTTAACTGCTCTTCTTTGGACGCACATCTGGATTGTTTCCATGTCTTTGCTATTGTAGATTGTGCTGCTGCAAATATAGGATTACAGATCCCCTTCTCATATGCAGATTTCACTTCTATTGGGCATATTCCTTGGAGCAGGATAGCTGGGCATATGGCAGGTTTATTTGCAATTTTCCAAGCACTCCTCATACTGATTTCCACAGTGGTTGTACTAGCCTACACTCCCACCAGCAGTGAAGGAGGGTGCCGTTCTCTCCACATCCATACCAGCAGGTGTTGTTTGTTGAGTTCTGAATGTAGGCCAGTCTCACTGGAGTTAGGTGGTACCTCAAAGTGGTTTTCATTTGTATCTCTCATGGCTAGGGAGCCTGAGCATCTTTTCATATGTCTGTTAGCCATTTGAATCTGTTCTTTTGAAAAATTTCCTTTAAATTCGTGTGTGCCTCACTTTAGAAACACTTAAGAAGTGTACTGGTTGATAGATGCTTTTTGTAATGACTAAATTGCCATAATATATTAGGTCAGAGTAATTTTAATGACTTAGTCAATACAATTAAAAATACTGTTGCATAAAGATATATTTAGTGCTTAGCATAATTCAAATATTTGAGCAGTAGGAGCTCATGCAAAGGACTTTATTCCTATTCCTTTTATTTTATTGTAGTGGTTTGCTGCCTACTAATACTGTGATCTGAGGCAAGTTACTTTCTGAATTTCAATCTCCTCAACTGTAAGATTAGACAAACCCTCTTTTTTCTGCAGGATTATTGAAAGGCTTCATGGAGATAATTCTAGACAACACCCTTGACTTGGAGCCTAGCAAAGAAATACTGACCAACACATGCTAGCTTCTTTTCACTGCTTTGTTACACATATGTATAGTTATTTTAGATATAGCTCATAATTAAAATTTAATTTCTCTTGAAATTTCTTTCATTTATTGGTTAAAATTGAATCGAAAGTGTAAACTGCGTGAGGATGTAAGCCTGTCTGATTTGTTTTGTCTTCTGTCGGGTTCCTTGACACAGGACCTGTGCTGTGCTGAAGATCTTATGCTGAGGGAATGGGTTAACATCTAAATAAAATTACTTTGCCGAAATAGTGTGCGGAAAGTGTCACAACCAAATGAGTCTTGCTTTTTGACAACTAGGCAGAGCATTTTAGTCTTAATAGTGAATCAAAATGAAAGATTGTCAGTAGTCAATGTTGTTACCCAAGTTTTAAAAATCTCTTGGTGGTTATTTAGTAAACTAAGTGGAGCAATGAATGCTCGTCATTTATAATCGCAAGGCTTATAATTCTGAGATGAAGTGGGTTTGAAACATGTGAAGTCCATTATCTGCCTTCTCCTCCTGTTATAAATGAAGTGACTTTCTTGTTCTTGGATTTTCTTCTTTATCTTGCGTCTCTACTATTTCTCTGCTGTGATGATTTTGTTCCCTTTTTTTTTTTTTTTAAATTCCCTGCTTAGGGCAGGTGTTTGGCACAGCAGTTTAGACACTGCTTAAGGTACCACACTCCATATTGAGTGCCTGGGTTTGAGTCCTGGTTCTGGCCCTGACACCAAGCTTCCTGCTAGTGTGTGTCCTGGAGGCAGCAGGTGGTGGCTCCTCTTGGGTCCCTTTTCCCACGTGGGAGACCTGTGTTTGCAGTTCCAGGCTCCCTGGTTAAGCCTGGCCTACTTCTCTCTGGCTGTTGCCAGCATTTGGGGAGCAAACCAGTGATTGAAGGATCTCTCTGTGGTCTCTGTTTCTGTTTTTAAAAAAATCATAAAAATAACTGTGAGCTTTCAACATCACATTTACCAGAAGGAAAATATCGAAGAACGTAAGCTATGAAACCTTTGGAAAGGACTGTAATTTTGTATGGCAACATGAAAATTTAAAAAGGTTTTTGCAGTTATTTTAGCTGTGTGCTTATCATTGCTATTATCAAATCTGATAACAAATAAGCAGAATCCTGCATTTATTGGTCTTTGAGTAATTTGTGAAATTTAAGAAATATAAAGAAAAATAACAATGCTTGGAAAAATTGTAAATTTCATTGTTTCTTTGGGTGTGTAGAAATTTTCAGAGAATGTTCTAAACTTAAGCCATTTATTTTAACCCTCAAAGACTATTATACAAGTTCTGTCTTTTTTTAAAAAAATATTATATTTATTGGAAAGTCAGATATACACAGAGGAGGAGAGACAGAGAGGAAGATCTTCTGTCTACTTATTCACTCCCCAAGTGACCGCAATGGTTGGAGCTAAGCCAATTGGGAGTCAGGAGCCAGGAGCCTCTGCCAGGTCTCCCATGCAGTGCAGGATCCCAAGGCTTTGGGCCATCCTCTTCTGCTTTTCTGGGCCACAAGCAGGGAGCTGGATGGGTAGTGGGGCTGCTTGAATTAGAACCGGCATCCATATAGGATCCCAGCATGTGCAAAGCAAGGACCTTAACTGCTAAGCTACTGCACCGGACCCAAGTTCTGTCTTTTTAAGCATAAAAGTATGCTGTCTCGAAGCATTGAATTGAATATTTGACATAGGCTCAGTGAGTAATATTTTAAGAACAGCTCTCAGTGTGCATATCTGTAGTGAATCAGGGCATTTTAATTTATTTAGGACCTGTAGTTATTTTTATACTTTAATGGAAAACCTCATGTTTAATGGATTTGAGTTCTATTTGTTGATGTTAAATATAAGAGAACTTGAAAAAGTTCACAAAAAGTGGATCAAAAAGGTAAGTTTCTTTCAGTGCCAAAAAATTGAAGTCCATACTTATGAGGGGTCTAAAAAGTTTAGAAAAATTCATATTATGGGATAACTATGCCTGAATTTGTCTTTTTCCATAAAAATAAACTTACCCTTTTGTTCCATTTTCCATGAACTTTCTGAAGATCATGAATCCTCATGCTTAAGTCTTTATGGTTTAGTAATGTGTTTTGCTACTAAGAACCACCCCTTTTATCTTTTTAAAAACAGCGCGATCATGACGACAGAGAAGAGTTTAGCTGCAGAGACTGAAGATTCCGCGCAGCAACCACAGAAGGAAGAGGGGGAGGGAGCCGCACACGGAGGCCGCCAGGAGACTCAGCTGGAGGAAGCTTCTCCCCCAGGGGCCGAGGGAGACAACCAGTGTGAACCCAAGCCGCAGGCCTCTAATGGAGACACCCCTACACACGAAGACTTGACCAGGAGCAAGGAGCAGCGGGCTGCAGAAAACAGAGGGCTGTCACGACTGCTCTCCTCCTTTCTCAAAAAGCCCAGATCTCAGGTCTCTGAGGAGGAAGGCAGAGAAGTCGAGTCAGATAAAGAAAAAGGTGAAAGGGGCCAGAAAGAAATAGAATTTGGAACCAGTCTTGATGAAGAGATCATCTTAAAGGCCCCCATTGCAGCTCCTGAGCCTGAACTCAAGACAGACCCGTCCTTGGATCTTCATTCATTAAGCAGTGCAGAAACACAGGTAAGGGGGTGTGAGTAGCTCTATAAACATTGGTCTTCATTTGAGAACATTTGACTTTATTTCTTAATACCCGGTTTTGGATATTAGTAGTCATAATCAACATGAAACTTTGGAGCTCAAGAAATTTCAACAGAAGTTAATGTAGTCAGTGGAACTTGGTTTTTAAGAAGACACAAAGCACAAATCAGAAGCAAAGATGGAGAAAAAGTATCAAATGAATTTATTCCTCTTTTTTATTCATATATCATCTTGTAATAATGATGAAACCAATTCATAATTTATGGTAAGACAAAAAGGAATGAGTTGGGTTAAAGTTCATGTTGGTGAAAATTTAGGAACAAGATAGTTATCAATGAAGTTATTGTTTTATGGACATCTTCATAAAAGCTTGATGATGAATTCAAGTCCTCTGAAGGTATGTAATAGTTTTGAGTCATTCTGCCCTATTTTCGTGTTATCTCCCCATACACACACTTAGTGAAAGGGAAAATCCATTTCTTGTTTTGTCTGAAGACTATTGATTTGTAGTCAAGTTGAAGCAGATGATGGACAAAGTTAATATCAGATTTACATAAAACCTCATTCATTGCCTAAATTCTAGTACAGAGATAATCGTATGCATAGAATGTTTTGTACATAGGAAGAAAATGAAACACATTAATATTGTTAATTAAACTTCAGGGAGATATTGCTTAAGAGAGCAAGCTGTTTTGGGCCTTAGGAAATTAGTGTTTACACTCAAAACCTTATGGGCCAGAACCTGTGAGTTTTGCTTAACTGATCGTATTTCTGTATGTATATGGGTTAGTCTGTCTTCTGTTGCCAATAATTCAGTGCCATATTTCTGGGTGAGTCATAGAGAAAGGAAGTTGATTTTGCTCAGAGTTCTGGAGGTACATGGTGAAGGGGAAATGACCTTCTTGATGACAGTCCTGAGATGATGCAGGGATTCACATGACAAGAGACAGTAAGCACATGTGTGTCTTTATATCTGTCTCCTCTCTCCCTCTTCTTGTGGTCACCAGGATCCAGTCTTGGTGGCTCCACTCTAGTGACTTCTTCTAATACTAATTTTGTCCAAAAGATACTTCCAAAACACCGTGATGGATTAGGCTTCCACCTTCCAAATACCTCTCACAGTGGGGATTAAATTTTGACACATGAAGCCTGGGGCAAACTCTTAAGCCATGCCAATGTAATAGAAATTCACTTAAGTGGTCTTTTTCTATCAAATTCTTAAAAGGTGAGTTTGCTTTGTATTCTACCAGTCTTTATCCAGAGTGATTTGGAATTTATGGATACCGCCAATTTTTAATATGTTTGCTTATTCATTCAACAAATTATTGAAAATCCGTCATGTGTTGTAAGCTCTAGGCTGGTTGTGCTTCCATAAATAAAAGCCACAATAAGTTGAAGAGGTGAGATCATGACTTTTGAATCTAGACTGGTTTGTGACTGGCTGTGTGAGCGTAGGCCAGTTACTTTAATTTCTCCAGTTTTTCATTTGTCAAGTAGAGACAATAATAGTTCCCACCCCAAAGAGTTGTTAGGAGTCTTACATGAGTTCATGTAAGCGATGTTCTTTAAACAGCAACTGACCCATTGTTATTGCTATATAAATATTTATGATTGTTATTGTAAAACAGATATGATCCCTGTTCTTGTGGCCTTTGTATTCTAAAGGACAATACAAACATTTATAGGAAAAGTGTTATAAAGGTGGAAAAAAAATGGGACATGAGAAATAGAGGGGAGCTAGATTAGATAGCATAACCAATGATGGTCACGTATGAAAGGGTTGTGAAGAATGATAAATGAATCTTTACTTTTCAATTTATTTTTGACAGAAATTTTCACAATATGCTTTTTAAAAAATATTTATTTTTTTGGAAAGTCAGATTTACAGAGAGAAGAAAATACAGAGAGAAAGCTCTTGCTACCACTAGTTTACTCTCTAAGTGGCCAAAATGGTTGGAGCGGAGCCAATCCAAAGCCAGGAGCTTCTTCTCGGTCTCACATGGGGGTGATGGCTCATCCTCTATTACCTTCCCAGGCTGTAATCAAGGAGCTAGATGGGAAGTGTAGCAGCCAGGACCTAAACCAACACCCAGATGGGATCCCAGTGCATGCAAGACAAGGATTTAGCACTGAGCCGTCATGCCAGGCTGTAAAAGAATCTTTAGACCAGGGCCCGGCGTGGCCTAGCAGCTAAAGTCCTCACCTTGAATGCCCAGGATCCCATATGGGCGCCGGTTCGTATCTCGGCAGCTCCACTTCCCATCCAGCTCCCTGCTTGTGGCCTGGGAAAGCAGTTGAGGACAGCCCAAAGCCTTGGGACTCTGCACCTGTGTGGGAGACCTGGAAGAAGTACCTGGATCCTGGCTTTGGATCGGCACAGCACCGGCCGTTGCGCTCACTTAGGAAGTGAATCATCGGACGGAAGATCTTCCTCTCTGTCTCTCCTCCTCTCTGTATATCTGACTTTCCAATAAATAAATAAATCTTAAAAAAAAAAAAGAATCTTTAGGTCATCTCTAGTACCTAATACAGGAACCAGACTATTGAATCCCTTTTTCTAAACATTAACCATATCTTCTTTTGAAAGAGGTTTACTTAAAACAATTTCAGTTGAAAGTTATACACACACACGTACACATGTATACACTCCAAAATGTCCCACTCACCTGTATTACATTGGAATGGCTTTAATGATTACACAGGAGAATCAAAATTTCAATCTGTGTCTTCTGTTATTGAAACTTCTTTACATTTAGTGTGATTGATACTTGGAAAAAGGAAATTAGCTTTATCTGATAAAGTTTGTAGCCTACTATGTATGTGTAGTTAATACTCTAAAATAGAACCTAAGTACTTTTCCAAGGCATTCATAAAATTTGGAATATGTGATAAATCACATCCTATTTTGCAATTCCTAAGGCTGCCTTGCTAAAATTTGAGCATGGGACGGAAAAGCTGAAGTTTTGATAAACTATAATATTAGCATTTAATGGCATAGTCAAGAAGAATATATAATACTGACAGCAGGAAGTTGCTGTTTTGTGCTTAACATGAATCCTTGATTTATTGTTTGATGGAATTCAGCTTGAGAAATGTTGAGACTAGCAAAGGCCATTGATCTTGTAGGGGATCATATCTTTTACAGAAATATTTATTTCATATTAATGTCTGTATTTTAAAAGTGTTTTTCCTCAGTTAGTGCTTCTATTGGTTAGGATTTTTGCAAGTAAAAGTAAGTGCAGTGTGTTTTGTGAGAGGTCAGAGTTTTGTTCCTGACTTTGTGATGTTGTGCATATGCAGCCTGCTCAGGAGGAACAGCTGGAAGATCCAGGTCTTGAATCTAAGGAAGGAGAGGGACTTGAAGAGTGCTCCAAAGTAGAAGTAAAAGGAGACAGTCCTCAATCAAAAGCGGAGAATCCAAAAGCTTCCCAGAAGTCAGTCAGAAGACACAGAAACATGCACTGCAAGGTTTCTTTGTTGGACGACACTGTTTATGAATGTGTTGTGGAGGTGAGCACATTTACCTTTCTGTCCCGCGTAGAGCCGGATAAGTGATGTACCCAAGGTAAGATCCACAGCCATGACTCTGTGTGTGTGTGAGTGTGTGAGTGTGTGTGTGTGTGTGTGTGTGTGTGTGTGTGTGTGTGTGTGTGTCTGCTCGGATCTTCTGAAATAAGGGAGTTGACAGTTAACTTTGAGGTGAAGATACCTACATCTGACGTCTTCATCCTCGAGGTCAGTTTTTGGATGGTCTGCTGAGTCTCGCCTCCTCTTGCAGCCCCTGGGAGGCAGCTGTGATGGTCCCAGTAGTTGAGTTCTTGCCGCTCACGTGGGATCTCTGGATTGAATTCCCAGCTCCCGACTGCAGCCCCGACCCAGCTCTGACCATTGTAGGCATTTAAGGAGCAAAGGAATAGATAGGAACTCTGTCTGTTTCAAAATAAATAAATCAAACAAAACCAACAGAAACCAACCAAACTAAGCAAAATAAAAAACAGTAGAAACCAGAAAAAATTTTTTTGGCTAGAGCATTGTTACCTTTGTTATAAGAACCTGTTTTGTTTTTTTTTTTTTAAAAAATAGTATGAATATTATGTATAGAGTGACTTTTCAGTCTTAGGATACCTTCAATTTCTGACATTAGATTTAGCTGTTTTTTTTTTAGATGTACAACAAATTACTTTTAAATTGAGTTATTCATGTGTAAACACAAACATACTTGAACAACTATGTGATGTAAAATATTAGGCTGTATTTACTACAGGCAATCCTCCCCACGTTGTAAAAAGGGAAGCAACAAATATGTTTTTTAAATTTCATTTTTCAAAGATATATTTATTTATTTGGAAATCTGATGGGGGAAACAAAGAGAAATCTGTTCATTCATTCACTCCCCAAATGGCCACAAAAACAGCAGGAGCTGGCTAATCTAAACACAGGAGTCAGGGATTTCTTCTGGGTCTCCCATATTGGTGCAGGGGCCCCAACACTTTGGCTATTCTCCACTGCTTTTCCAGGTACAATAACAGGGAATTTGATCAGAAGTGGAGCAGCTGGGACTTGAACTGGTGATCATATGGGACACTGGCACTATAAGCCGTGATGTAACCTGTTATACCACGTTGCTGCCTCTGAAAAATATTTCATTGCTCTTTGAAAAGAACTAGTACATGTGGTAACTAGAGGAATTACAAGTTCTGCTTTTATTGCTTCTTGCTGTTAGCAAATTTAGAGATTGTGAAAGCTCTTCCACACTCTTCTTCCTGAACAGGATATGAGTCCATTGTATTTTAAACCCTTTGGAATAGATGTATTTCAGAAATAGGGAGTTTAAAAAAATTTAATGATATCATTTCATTGTATTTCCACCTTTAAAAAATTATTTATATTAAAAGCAGAATTATAAACAGAATGAGACAGAGTCAGCTCTTCTATCCACTGGTTTGCTCTCCAAATAGCCATTAATTACCAGGTTGGGCCAGGCCAAAGTCAGAGTGCGGGATCCCATATGGACACTGGTTCAGCTGCACCACTTTCCATCCAGTTCCCTGCTTGTGCCCTGGAAAAGCAGTGGCTGATGGCCCCAAGCTTTAGGACCGCAGTGCCTGGCATGGTAGCCTAGCGGCTAAAGTCCGTGCCTTACATGCACCAGGATCCCATATGGGTGCTATTTCTAATCCTGGCGGCCCTGCTTCCCATCCAGCTCCCTGCTTGTGGCTTGGGAAAGCAGTGGAGGATGGTCCAAATCCTGGGGACCCTACACTCATGTAAGAGACCTGAAAGAGCAGCTCCTGGCTCCTGGCTTCATATTGGCACAGCTCTGGCCTTTGCAGCCACTTGGGGAGTGAATCAACGGACGGATGATCTTCTGTCTCTCCTCTCTGTATATCTGACTTTCCAATTTAAAAAAAGAAAATAAATATTTAAAAAAAGCAACAACTTTGGGCCCCTGTACCCAAAAAGGAGACCCAGATGATGCTTCTGACTGCTGGCTCCTGGCTTTTGATTAGATCAGCTTCATAAGGCATAAACACGGAGCTGGATGGGAAGTGGAACAACTGGGACATGAATCAGCACCTTTATGGTATGCTGGCGCTCCAGGCAGAGGCTTAGTTGCTATACCACTATGCTTTCCCTAACTTTTTTTTTTTTTTAAGATTTGTTTATTTATTTGAAAGTCAGAGTTTGAAAGAGAAACAGAGAGTCTTTCATCCTCAGACGGCTACAGTGGCAGGAACTAGACCAGGCCCAACCAGGAACCAGAGATTGTTCAGTCTTCCACGTGGATAGCAGGGCCAGAGAACTTAAGTCACCTTGTCCTGGCACACCAGCAGGGAGCTAAATTGGAAAGGAAGCAACTGGAACATGAACTGGAGCTTGTATAGGATTCTGGTGCTTTAGGTAACCTGTTCCACCCCTCGAGCCCAAATTACAGCCTTCAAGTTAGGATATTTCCTCTCTAGAATTGGAAGTGTCAGTACTCAATTTTGAAAGTTATTTGGCTTTCTTGGTAAAGAAACGTTAAGAAAATGATTTGTGGTACTGTTGAAAGAGTTTCTGCAATGGATAGTGTTTGTACGCTAAGATTCTACTTTAAGCATTTTTCTGAGAGGGATTGTAGGGAATTTAGGCACAACTCATTCTCTTGATACATTTGGTCTGAAAATGATAGCAAGTCTAATGTTTTTCATAGCTGTAACTATCAGTGTTGACAAGTGATGGAGAATTCGGGATGACTGTCCGTGACTGATAGTATGTGCTAGGAAATGTTGCAACAAAAACGAAGAAGGTGGCGTTCAGGATGAATTTGGAGATTGGGTGATGGGGCGAAGATCATTTTGCTTTGAATTGTAATATTATTTGCTGGCTACTGTGTTTTACACCTGAGACAAACTGAGAAATAGGAATTTGGTAAATTGTGTTGTTCTGCTTAGATTATTTAACCACCTGGAAGTTTGTTAGTAACCAAAGGTAAAAAAAAAAAAAAAAGAAAAGAAAAGAAAATGGGAAAGTAACATTTTATTTAGTGGTAGTGAATAGAGGAATAGTTGGAAACCTCAATTGAAATCAATATGTGTGTCTTTGCAGAAACATGCCAAGGGACAAGATCTGCTTAAACGAGTGTGTGAGCACCTCAATCTTTTGGAGGAAGACTACTTCGGTCTAGCCATTTGGGACAATGCAACCTCTAAGGTGAGCAGGCTGCTTGTAGTATAGAAGCTGAGGAAATGTTTATGTAATTCTTTTGTCATTAAGAGTGTATTCAATTACATGATATGATGTGATGTGATGTGATATGATATGATATGATATGTGCTAGAAATTACCCCTGGTCTACCTCTGTTTCTCAGATTTTCCTCCTAGAGGTAATATATGTATATTTTTTGAGGTAATATTTTAAAGAAAGATCTTTGCTAGTGTGTTCCTTCATCATTGAAATTCTATACATGTAAAGCAGGCAGGAGGGCTGGGCATTTGGCACAGCGGTTGAGACATTGCAGTGTCTAGGCTGGGGTCCTAGCTGTGCTTCCATCTGAGTTTTTGTTAATGCATGGCCTGAGAGGCAATAGGTGATGGCTCAGGTGTTTGGGTTTATGAGCCATGTGAGAGATTTGGACTGAGTTTTGGAGGGTCTTAGTTTTGGTCTGATCAAGCCCTGGCTTTTGTAGGCATTTAGTAAATAAACCAACAGATGGAAGATCTCTTTTCTGTTTCTTCTCTCTCTCATCTTTTTCAAGTGGAATACAGGGAAGTCTTTAAAATAATAATGACAGTAAAGAGAGCAGGGAAAATAAAGAGGTATGATGTTCTGATTAGTAAGTAGATAGCAATAACTTCCTGTACAATTATAATGGTATCTGATGCATAGGAAGTTCAAAGAATACTGAATGGATGGTCTAGAATCAATGTAATATTAAATTATAATTTGTAAGCAATGTTATAAAAGAGAATAAAGTCCCAGTGTTATTGAACAACGAATATAATGAATTTGATATTTCCTCCCACCTAAAAGGGAACCAGTTAACTTTTGAAAGAAATAAAAGTAGATGAGAACAAGGAAGAGGGAAGAAAGTGTTAAAAATCAGGTTTTTACTTCAGAACACTTGATTCATTACCTGGTCCAATTGAAAGTGACATTTAGCTTAAAATGTAGTGAAGAAAATGTCAGTCTAGTTTCCCGAATATTTGCAGATGTTGTGTTAGATGATGTGGCTAGAGCTGTGGATAAGGAAGGCATGGTCCCTGCTGTCTGGGGCATTTGGTTAATAGGAAGATGCCATTCAATACTGCTCTGTTGAGAGTTATACACGAAGCGGGAAGGTATGGCTGGAAAGTCTGTTCTGGGGAGATGTTATCTAAGCTAAGTGTGAGGTTAAAACAGGCAAGTGAAGTAGAGAGAGAATAGTTCATGAAAAGATCTAGAATTGAGAGAGTGACATTTGAGGAGCTGAGAGCCATCTGGCCTTGCTGAACTAGAGTATTAGGAATAGTGTCATGAGTGAAGCTAGTGAGTGATACAGGGTAAGAAATACAGGGTATCCTAAAGAGTCATTTTTAGCATGTTCAAGTGATTGGATATATTGGTTGGTTCTTTCTCCAAGGTGATTTCAATCGACTAAGACAAGTTGAGGAACAACTACTTTTAGCAACTATAAATTCTATAGATTAGGTATTTCAGGTAGGTAACTAAAAGATATGGAATTACTCTTTGTCTAAGCAAAATCTATCTGTAAAATATGCCTAGTAGTTTGCACGAGTGCATTCTTCCTGTGAATGAGTGACTGCTGACTCAAGAACAAAAATTTTTTTTTTAAGATTTATTTTTATTATTTTTTCATTGGAAAGGCAGATATACAGAGAGGAGAGACAGAGAGGAAGATCTTCCGTCCGATGATTCACTCCCCAAGTGAGCGCAACGGCTGATACTATGCCGGTCCGAAGCCAGGAGCCTCTTCCGGGTCTCCCACATGGGTGCAGGTTCCCAAAGCTTTGGGCCATCCTTGACTGCTTTCCCGGGCCACAGGCAGGGAGCTGGAAGGGAAGCGGGGCTGCCTGGATTAGAACCGGCGCCCATATGGGATCCCGGGTGTGCAAGGCGAGGACCTTTAACCACTTGCGCCACCGCGCTGGGCCCCAAGAACAAAAATTTTTTACCAATACTAGGTTAATATATTTTAAGTTCTTAACCAGTTGGTTTCTGTTTCCCAGTAAGTAAGGAAATATTTGATTTAAAAAAACAAAATCCAGGCCCAGTGTGGTAGCCTAATGGCTAAAGTCCTCGCCTGGCACACGCTGTGATCCCATGTGGGCACTGGTTCTAAACCTGGCAGCCCCACTTCCCATCCAGCTCTCTGTAGTTTGGGAAAGCAGTTGAGGACAGCCCAAAGCCTTGGGACTCTGCACCCACATGGGAGACCCGGAAGAAGGTCTTGGTTCATGGATTCAGATCAGCTCAGATCAGCCTGTTGCAGCCACTCGGGTGGGGGTGGGGGGGGTGAATCAATGGAAGAAGACCTTCCTCACTTTCTTCCCTCCTCTCTATATATCTGAATTTCCAGTAAAAATTAAATTTTTTTTCACAGTGTGTATTTTTTACTATATTTTTACAATCTTTACACAGTTAATTAGGGTAAAAAGGTTTAAGGGCTATAGGAAAGTGGGTAAGACTATTATTTCCATATTGTTTCCTTCATGTTTAAAGCGGGGTATTAAGGGAGAAGGCCCACCCAATTTACCACCCTTCCCAGGTCCCGGATGTAGGGTATGCTCCGAGGTTCCTGCTCAAGTGGTTTTGATAGTTCACCAGTTATGAATCGCTGCCAGTCTTGCCACTCCAAGCACTAGGAGGTCTTTGAAGAATCCACTGAGTGACATAGTTCATCATAGAGTCTGTTTGCCCTGTATTTTGCTGCCAAAATGTAGCTGAGATGGTTGATGGACCTGTTCTGTCCTCTCTCTTTTCATGGTTAGGGTTCTGAGTCCAGCATTTTGATTGGGAAGATCTCCAAAGAAACTTTGTCTGAGGTGTTCTAAAACCAGATTCTTGAATGTACTAGCAAGTACAGGGCCTGACACAGTCCATCGCCCTGATCAGCTGGTGGTTGCGATCTCTGGGTTGGTTCTGTTTTCAGCCCCGCCTTCCACTGGAACCAATGGGTGGTGCAGTCCAGCCTGGTTCTGCCCAGCACATACTTGGCTCTCGCATAAACCAGTGGGAGCTGCAGCCTAGTTGGAGCGACCCACAATAACCCCCACCAGGCCCGCTCCCTACCCTGGTTTGCCAGTAAGTGTAGCAGTGATCCAGTCTGTCCCACACCCCATTCCACCCCAGCCCCTCTCCTGGTTTTCCTGCCCTCCTGTGGAAGTGGTAACCCAAGAGGGAGGAGCCCACTATTTCCCTCCCAGGCCTCTCCCACTCCCAGATTATGCTCTCTCCAGGTAGTTCTGTGGTTCTTCTGCCAGCTGATGCTGTAGCTAAGCCCAAACAACCCTCACCCACTCTAATTTTGTTTGTACCAGTAGGAAAAAATCAGCCCAGCCTGGCTTTTCCCTGATCTAGTCCACATGAGGTGTGCAGGTGTTGTAGCCCTGCTTAGTCTGGTCTGCCCCCATCCCAGCCCATGCTCTCCAGTGGGAGTAGCTGTCCAACAAAGGAACCACCCCTTATTCCCCTGCTGGCTCCGCCCCCTCCCTTCCTGGTTCTCACACGTGCTGGTTGGGTGCTGCAGTCACATCCAGCACAGGCAACCTCACCTTGGCATTTCCGTATTGTGCACTAGTTTTTGTTGTGACCAAACCTGGCTCAACCCACACTGTTCTGGTGCTTGGATTTGCCAGTGGATGATGTGAACAGATTCAGCCTGGTCTGCCCCCGACCCATCCAAATGTATGCCAGTGGGTAACTTTCCATGGCCTGTTCTGAGCTGTTTCCTATCATGTTTCTTGCGCTTACCTGCCGGGTCTGTGTCCTGCCAGAGGAGTTGCCCAGGCTCCTCCATCAGAACCTCTCCCAATGCCAGATTTTGCGCATACCAGTGGATCCATGATCCAGCCTTACTCAGTTCACCTTCTGTCCTAGCAGGAATAGTGGCTTTTCCTGACTGGCCTTCAATCCAAACGGGTCCTTGCTGTTGGATGTTTCAGCCCAGCCATGGCTCATCCATACCCATATATGGCTTACATATGGCTCAGTAGGGGTTGGGACCTTACCTAGTCCATCCCACATGTATCCTGGTCCTTCAGGACACCACACGGTGTTGGAGTCTGGCCCGGCTTGGTGCATCCAATCCCAGTCCACATGTATGCCAAGGGAGACTACAACCGTTTCCTATTCAGACCGCAGCCCCCATTCCAGGCCACGCACCCCTTGGTGGGAACCTTAACCCAGCTAGGGTTGTCCCCTTATCTCCCCAACCGGGCCTGTTCCCAGCCATAGATCACATGCGCATGCCAGTGGTTGCTCTGACTCAGCTTGATTAGCCCCTCACCATTCCCAATCTCTGCCTTAAACACTGTGGTTTAGCATTCCTGGCTCATGCAGGCCAGTAGATGCAAGAGCCTAGCTTGGCACGAGCTGTGCTCCCTCCTAGTCTCTAGTTTCACTTATGGGCTAAGGTTTGCTCAGTCCTGCCCAGTCCACCCTGTTCCATTACCAATTGACACATTAGGCAGCTGTTGGAGCTACTTTGCCCAGCTTGTCTGACCCCCAGGTCTGGACCACATGTTTACCAGCGGGAGCTATGACTCACCAAGGGAGTTTCCCAAGTTCCTCCACTTAATCCACTGCCAGACCCAGTTCTCATACATGCCTTTTGGTTTAGGCCAGGTTCTGGCAAAGCCTGGCCTTCCATTTGGCCTTGTATGAGCTGTTGAACGTTGCAGCCCGGCCCACCCCATACCCTAATCAGGATGCACATTTGGGTGCTGCTGCCCTGACCAGTCCAGACTATTGGGGGTTCCTTTACCTGTGATTGATGTCAGGCTCCTTGGTCACACCTAGCTTAGTCCATCACCACCCCAACTCTTGAGCTAACCAGTGGGGCTAGAATTTCCACAGGGTTTGGCCCACACATCCCTCACAGAATCTATCCCTGGTTATGGTTCTAGTGCTAGTTAATGTAATGGTCCTGCTTAATGTGACCCTTCTTCTGATCCATCGTCATGTCAGGTAACAGGATATGATTCTGCTGGAC